ATGCGACTTGTGCCTTCTCATTTTTTCCACGCACGACTGTATGGGTGAAAGCGATCTCGGGAACCATACGAGCTAAGGAGCTGAAACTCAGTACCGATATTCCCTGTGCATGTATTAGTTAAAGATTTCAAATCCAGCCCCAGGTATGCATGGTATTCAGGTAAGGGCGCATGAAAGTTCTGGGATCGTACGTACGTGGGGACCGTTGGGAATCGTAACAGGGAGGTGAATGGAGGGGAAAACGGCCGTGCGTATGGGGTGAACAGAGCTGTCGTCGTATTTTTCGAGGAGGCAGAGTGGCCTGGGAGATGTCGCTTTTGGGAGGGATGAAGAACAGGATGTGCGTGTGAGGAAGGAAAGCGACCGGTCGTGAATGGGAAACGCATAGGTTGTGTGCATGTGGATAAAAACGTAGTGCATGGAGGAGCATGGAAAAAACTTGGGAAAGGGCGGGGAGTCGTGCATATAGGGGACGACGAACTTCTGTGTGAGAATAGATGAGGGGGGAGGACGGATGACCTCTCACCTCATGCGTGGGCAAAAGGCGGGAGCGAGGGGATTGCAACATCGATTATTTTCGGATCGAATCAGCCGCCTATGCCGGATTTGGTATAGCCAATTTCGAAAACAATCCAAATATGCCATTTCAGACATCTCCGCACATCACCGGATGAGCTACGGTAACAGCACCGACCTACTCGCTCCCCTACAAATCGATGTAATTGTTTTGTTTTTCTGCTCACAAGTCGATGATTTTCCATCCACTGACGGATCCAAGAGAGAGGGGAGCAAAGGGGGTCTTTCGCTTCCCCCCTCCCCGCCCCTACACCTTCCCCTTAGTGTTGCAAAATTCCGGGTCTGTTCATAAATAAAACTAAAGCAAAACTCTAAATAGTAGTGTTACAATCGTTTAAGTGTTACAAATCTGTTCCTAGTTTTTGCATAGTTCTATGGTGGCAGGGGACAATTTCCCACCCCATCGCTTCCCCCCCTCCCCCCTCTCCCCCTAAGAGCCCGTCCTGGACCCGCCTATTTCTCCATCCTAATTGCTATTACTAAAGTACCATTGTGAGAGGAGTCTGTGGTAAAATGAACACGGGTTCTGTGCTCTCGTGGCCACGGATTTACATGTACCGGCAGCTCAGATTTGTGATGAGGATTTGACTGGGTCTTGCAGGATCCCCCTAGATCGGTTATTTTGTTCGCTTCCCTCTCTCCCCCCCCCCCCCCCCCCCCCCCCCCCCCCCCCCCCCCCCC